CGGCCCACCATTCTTTCTGCAGATCGGGGAGCGATCAGCAGTCCACGATGTCATCTGATCTGCCGATTCGACTCTGCTTCGATGGACCAGTGGTCTTCCAGCGTCTTAGTTAGTCTGCCTGCTTCGTTGGCACAGCAGCTCCATGAGCGGGGAGGGCGCTCCAGCTGAGGCAGAGAGCTCAGCGCATGGACGAGCAGTGAGCCCAGAGCAGAATCGGGCAGGGTGAGACAAGAGCAGCCGCCCAGAGCAGGGAGAGGCAGTGAGGCTCGGAGGGTTCCTGGAGCCACTTGCCATGATCCCCCACCGTTGCGCAATGGATTTTGTAAAGACAAATTGGCAGGGTTTGACCCAAGCACTAGTATGCTAACATGGCGGTGACAAGTGTGCTACTGAGAGAACTTGTCTATAACCATCCACACACTTAAATGCTTTTCATTTCGAATAAACCTGTGTATGAATAACTGAAATCTTAATAACAATACTTCTTTACTTTCCTGTGTTTGTGAGGACACATGAGATCTTCAAAAAGTTCACAGGGAATGTGTATTATGAAAAACAATGCATGGATTTCGATGCTTTAGTTAGTTTAATGGTTTCATCAGAATCAACTCATTCTAACTTGCTAACGTCGGTGAACGGGATCTAGTTTGAGACCCTGAGAACGCTAAGACATCAGTTTGAAAAGAAGCCCCTATCAAAACAGCAGGGATTCTGCTGAAAATGAAGCAAGAACAAACATCAGATCGATGGTGGAGCTTGGGTGTAAGAATGGCGAAATCATTGTTGCTTTACAAAAGCTCATGGGGACAACGCCCCATAGCAAGCAGCACGTGTGGGACTCAGTTGAAGGAGGCAGGAGAGCATGGCGATGTTGAAGATCACGGTGGCGGGCCATCCAAATCAGTGTGTGAGCAAACAATCATGGAAGTGTGTTCATGCCCTAACGCAACAGCCAACATCACAGACATCTCAATTAGCACTGCTTACACACGTCTGACTGAAAAAGGTGAGCACACTTCTGCTCAATGGGTGCAGTGTAAACTGTTGTGCCCCCAAGAGCAGGGCTTTTGATGGAGATGTTAGACAAGGGGGATCCAGAACCAGAAGCTGTAACAGGAAATGAAACATGGCTTTACCAGTCCGACTCTGATGACAGCAATCAAAGCCACGTGACCAAGAGGTGGAAGTGGTTCAGTCAAAGCAAAGGAGGGGGAGGGAGGGAAAAAAGAGGAGCTGATACCAAGGGCTCAATAGAAAGTAAATGTTTAGAACATGATGACGGTAATAGACGTACAAATATGCTTGATACAATCGATGTATGGGATGTTATGAGACCTGCAAGAGACCCCAATAAATTATTTTAAATAAACAAACTTGAAAACAAAATAAATAAATGTACTTGAAAACAGAACAAAATGAACTAAGGTTATAACAACAGTTTTGGGGGGTCTTTTGGACAACAGTTTTTTGAGATGTTCAAGATACTTTGCTTTTTTATTTTCTGGAAGGTCAAAGAACAAAACATCTGCTTAGCTTGAAAGTGTTTTTGAGAAAGTTAGCCAAAGCTCAAGCAGAATAACCCTTGGGAAAGCTTCACCAGAGAGTACTCTGGTACTAAGATAAGGCATATGCTCATTCCACGCATCAAACAAGGGCAATATATATATTTTTTTCTTTTAAAAATCATTTCATTGGGGGATCATACAATTCTTATCACAACCCGTACATAGATCTTGTCAAGCACGGACCAGTGGTCTTCCAGTGTCTTAGTTTGTCTTCCTGCTTATATATTTGTTGCCGCCATCATTTTCAAAACATTTTCTTTCCACTTGAGCCTTTTGTATCAGCTTCTCATTTCTCCTTCCTTCCCTCCCTCCCTCCTTCCCTCCCTCATGAACCCATGATAATATATAAATTATAATTATTTTGTCATGTCTTATACTGACCAATGTCTCCCTTTACCCACTTTTCTGTTGTCTGTCCCCCTGGGAGGTGGTTATAGCTAGATCATTGTGATCGGTTCCCCTTTCTCCCCCACCTTCCCCTCTTCCTCCTAGCATGGCTACTCTCATTATGGGTCCTGAGAGGTTTATCTGTGCTGGGTTCCCTGTGTTTCCAGCTCTATCTGTACCTGTATACATGCTCTGGTCCAGCCAGATTTGTAAGGTAGAATTGGGGTCATGATTTGGGGGGAGGGGGGCGGGAGAAACGGGAGAGATGAAGCATTAAAGAACTAGAGCAGTGGTTCTCAACCTGTGGGTCGTGACCCCTTTGGGGGTTGAATGACCCTTTCACAGGGGT